ACGCAACTTTACCCCCATTTAAGCTACTTCGTACCTCTTACCGTTTCCGAGATTCTGTAGTGAGAAGCGAATTTGTAACAACCTGTATACAAGATTACTGATTGAATGAATGTCCAAATTTTGGGAGCATTGAGCAAAAATGCAGTATTGCTTCCATCATAAGAAAAACAAAAGTTATATGTCGTTTCTCCATTCTGGTAGGCACCACTTCTAATATGACTACATATTTGAGTTTTCTGCAATAGGAGTTCTAACAATGTCTGTGTTTAGTCTTTCTGTTCTCGAATTAAAAAAAAGAGAAAATCAAAATTTTCAGTTTTTCATTAATAACTTCAAAATTAACGTAGATCAAATTTCTCATCGACAGGCTATTCGTCATCAAATTTTAGAGCTTCGCCCTAATTTAACCCACCTTGTATTTCTTAAGATGACCGAGATGTCAATGCCTCGAAAAAAAAGGCTTTCTTTACAGGCAATTATCTACAAAAGGAGCTTCCACATAATACAGAATTAACAGGAATTTAGGACGGAAAGAGAAGACTAGTTATTCTCTATTTGATTGGTTGTAATGTCGCAAAGCAATTTCTCTCTCTTCCGAATATATATTATATGCTTTTTGAGCGGGTCATAACAAACTACACTGTATATATCGAATCTGAAATATGATATTTCATCTGTTTTTGAGCAATTGTAAAAACTGTTGTTACAAACCATGTTTGAAGGTGCGTAATACCATTTAAAAACAGTTAGGAATTGAATGACCTGACAAAGGACAGGACCATGTTGTCATGTCTACATAGGTTAGAAATTTCCAATTAGGCAATCTTTACAAATGAAACAGTATTGTGCTTGTTTTTTTATTTAATTTCATTGTTTCATTGCATAACAGGCAATAAAACAAATTTCTGAGCACCGTTGCAATAGAACTTCGAAGATGCATTGCCTATCGTTCTCTGACATATGTGCGTAATATACGAGTATGTATAAGCTTGTCTCTTTTGCGAATCTAGTATCTGATTGATGAGACGGACACATACACTAGCGCGGGTGTAGGTTTTTGATTGTTTTATAAATAGTGTACTAATTTAAAAGAACTAAGTGTTTAGTGATTATTAAATATGAATTAATAATTACTGCTATTAGAATTTTATTAAAACAACCTGATTTTTGCAGCATATCCTCAAAATTCCTACATTGCTGTCAAAATCAGGCTCAACACATTGCGTCATGAAGATGCACTTTATTGAGATCTATGTTTTTGCAATACTCTTGATCAGAAGGATTTCATACATACTCACTCACTTTTGGTGGCCAAAGTACAGATCCGAAACTTCTAATCCTAAACGGATTGGACCTTCTGACAATTCTCGTTTAACCAATCCGTGCACTGTGTGTGTCCCATCATACTGATACCACATATTCCTTACATTCAGTGGCATACCTTCAAGTAAGTTTTCACAAAATTAAGATAAGTTTCGCCATTGAGCCCATCATCCATTAGGTATATAAGATCCCATCATAGACCAGGGTCGATCTGTCGAAATATCCCACTTCTTGAATGTAAGCTAATTTTTGTTGGAATACTTTCAGTACAACACACATAATAAAAATGTAGATCCCTAGATCTCGACGAGGTCCGGAACATTTTCAAAATTGCAAAAATGTATACAAAATTTTAAAAAATACCTATTTTATCTGAGTTTTTTACTTATATCTTAGAACCTATGCATTTTGGAAGAATATTGAAGAGGAAAAAAGTTTTAGAATTGAATGTTGCACAATATATTGGAAGTTAAAAATGTTTAAATTTGTTACCGATGTTGCAAAATAGCAATAATTGATGAAAAAAAGGCAAAATAATCAAGTTTTTTTGGATTTTTTTTTAAATTTTTTAATTGCTCCGAGGGCATTCTAATTTTGGTAAAAAACTTTGATGTATAATAAATCGGTTAGATAGTTTCCGCAAAATAATTTTTTGAAAAAAATTTAGAAAAAACTTTTTCGAATTTTCAAAATGTGCCTCTACTAAAGCATCTAGATAGTTGAAAATTTTTTCACATAGAAAAGACCGCTGATCTTTTCAAATGGTTTTGGAAAAATTGAAATCGGTCGATTAGGACGGCCACAGTAAATTTTTAAAGTTAACGCTCTTTTTTTTATTTTTAAACAATTAGATTACATTTATCAATTTGCAATTTAGTTTTTTTCAAAAATTATAATTTTAAAGTACTTGGAAAGTTTATCAGCATTTACTGTTAATATACAAACAATTTAGCAATAATCTTTGATCCAGTGACTTCGTTTTTCCGAGTTCTAAGCTGAAAAAAATATTCATATCCATAAGTTATCGGCAACATAGATAAATCAGCGAAAAAGCTGGCGCTCGCACACGCGAAAAGGGACTCAAAACACGAAAAGTGGGGGAGGCGGCTTTCGCTCCCAGACTGAATTCGCAGGTTCAAAATGTGATTGTACGAAAAAAATTGCATTATCTCGGCTTCTAAAATGGACCAATTTTGATTTTTTTTAATCCGATGTCTCGCGATACAAGGAATTCGAATATCGTAATGCCAACTGTCTAATTTGCACATATTTTGTTATAAACTATTTATGCATTAAATAATACTGTATATTTTACGCTATGCTATTGCATTCTTTCAATGAAAAAATTTGTTTACGTATATATTTCAATACTCTGAATATTAATGTACCTATTTAGTTATATTTATTACAGTTATTTAATAATTTTTGTTTAAACAAATTAAAAAATATATATTTGTAAACTAATTTTCTTGTTAAATGCAGATAAAATTAAGAAAAAATAGTACTTTAAAATTATAATTTTTGGAAAAAACTAAATTGCAAATTGATAAATGTAATCTAATTGTTTAAAAATAAAAAAAATTAAAGAGTGTTACCTTTAAAAATTTACTGTGGGTCCTAATCAACCGATTTCAATTTTTCAAAAACCATTTGAAAGGTTGAGCGTTTTTTTCTATGTGAAAAAATTTTGAAGTATCTAGATGATTTATTTGAGGCTGTGCAACATTTTGAAAATTCAAAAATTTTTTTTCAAAATTTTTTTCAAAATACTATCCAACCGATTTTAATGAAATTTGGTGTGTTGTCTTATTATACTCTAAAGTTTTTTTTACCAAAATCAGAATGCCCTCGGTGCAATTAAAATATTTTTAAAAAATTATCAAAAAACTTGATTATTTTGCCTTTTTTCAATCAATTATTGCTATTTTGTAACATCGGTAATAAATTTAAACATTTTTAACTTACGGTATATTGTGCAAAATTCAATTCTAAAACTTTTTTTCCTCTTCAATATTCTTCCAAAATGCATATGTTCCAAGATATAAGTAAAAAACTCAGATCAAATGGGTATTTTTTAAATTTTTTTAAACATTTTTGCAATTTTGAAAATGTTCCGGACCTCGCCCAGATCTAGGGATCTACACTTTTATTATGTGAGTTGTACTGAAGGTAATCCAGAAAAAAATTGTTTGCCCCCTCTCACATCCACCTCAAAACAGATCCGCCATGGTCTATCAGTCTAAAATTTTTCTTTACTTATAATGAATCTCTTTTAGGTATAGAATGGGGATTGTCATCAAAACAAAAAGGTACTTCATAAATATTGAAAATTCCTTTTCTCGTAAATTCCCCCTCAACAGTCTTCGACAAACCTATTTTCAAAGTCTGTATTTTTTTGTGACATGATATGGATATAATCCGTGAATCTTCAACTTTCCTTGTACAGTCATACCTATGACATAATTGAAATCTTGTGACTAATCCTCGAGTATTGATACCAGGATTCTCTCTCACAGCGTTCAAAATTTTTGATTGTAAGTTTTCTTCTCTCTGAGCTTGTTCCGTTCAACATTAATTAGCATATTGATGTTCAAAGCTCCCAGATGATCCCTTAAATGTTGAAACAATCTTTTAAACACTTTCTTATTCGGTACTTACCGGTCGGGATAATCCATCTCTTACCATCTTCTTGCAGCAGCATCGTTTCCTCCTGACAAAAAGTAGGCTCTAACCATATCAACTCTGTTTATTCGTATACATGCTTTTTCATAAAATCATACAGAAACTTGAAAAGAAATCACAAAAATGGACTGTACACTGAAATAGATAAGATATCTGACACCAATTTAACTGATGAAGTGGTTGAATAAGAAAAAAGAGTAAAAATATAGGTAGGTACCACATTTTGTTTAGAATTGATATTGATATTACCTGTTTTCGCTTTCTTAAATGCGTACATGTCTATTTTACGTGGCGACCGTAATATAGTATGCGTGTGTGATGAATCCATGACAGTCAGAGGTCATTCAACTCTCAAGCATTTTCCATTATAGAATACCTACTTAAGATTACTTTTAGTGGAAAATATTACATACACCTGTTTTTAACTGTTATTAATTATTATTTTATTATTTTCATAATTATGTATGTAGGTACTTCAGTATGTATGGCTTACATTTCGGTCTATTTTTGCAAATTTTCCCATTTTTTGGTTGGTAATTTTCTTTGTGTATTCGAAATTACTAGAATCTAATAAGTCATCATCACTACTGCCTGACCCGATGCTAGTGAATCACTAGCATCGGGTCAGGCTGCCCTGTAAAGTTAAAAATTCAGGTTGCATGCAAATGACTAATAAGAAGCAAACTACAATTATTGAATCTCAGGCAAGAGAATAAGCCAAGAAGTAAGCTGAAATTATAAAACGGTACGGGCTAAATTTAAAGCAATCCATCGGAACGCAAGGTAAGGAAAACACGCAACCGATCAGCCAACAAGTGGTTGCCCCGGAGCACCAAAACAGCGCTGCCAGGCTTGATCCTGCTCACACAGGGCACAAAGAAAGCCCCAGAGCAATTTCTCATTGGTCCATATGGATGCTGTGCCCGCGGTGAAGAGAGGGGCTGCCTTGCGGCTGCGCGACTCTTCAGTAGTCCACCGATCGTCGAAGTGTTCGTGGTACGTCAAGCCTATGTGTGCGCCGTCACCGATACAGTGATTTGTCCCAAAGACCTCAGCTCGATGCCGACGCCGCGACGCAACTTTTGCAGTGATGATGTGCAGTGTCATGTGGCGATTGTTGTGTAGGAGCATGACCCATGGATATTTATTACAGTTCTTCCTTCTTTTACTGACTCTTCTTCAGGTAATTTGGTGTAAATCACGGGTGAAATGAGGCGGCAATGCCGACGGATTCTTTGCGTTTGAGACGCGCCGCATTTTGGTTTCCGATTGAATAAGGTTTTAAATGTGACATGGTTTTAAATTTTATGGTTTTTGCAGAGGGGTAAAACCGAAACAATATTATATAGACCATATAAGGCTTTTTGACATCGCAAATATTTATCCGTATAATTTACACAATTATCAAATTAATCAAACGAATTTTATTGTGGATTTATTATATATTTTTAATGGTAAATGCATAATAACATAATGCAGCCACAGAAACGGCGTTTCAAAGTTACAGAAATATTGAGCGCTGAGCAATAGACAGCGTGGGAAAATGTGATTCTCGTATGTATGCAGATACTGGTTTCAAAATACATTAAATAAATGGGTTTTATACAAAACACAACGCTTTCTAGACGTGCATTTGTATAAATTAACGTCATTTGAAGATGATAACAGGTTTAAAATGTCTATGACGCTACCTAATTTGCGGCTATCGAAAAAATTTGAATTTTGGGGCAAATTGATTTGATTCGTTGATTTCGTTGCTAATTTGCAAAACGAATTGCGAAACGGCTTGTCTTTATTATTTCTGAATGTGTTTATTTTTAAGGCAAAATTTCAAATAAAAAAATCAAATACCTACCTAGATAGGTACTTATTTATATAATTTGACAGTTAGGTACATACTTTTGATATAGTTTAATAGAGTTTCCTTCTTCTTATTATATTATAGTAGTAGTAAAGTAATAATTTATAAACAAAATTGTTAGGTATTTATCCAAATAAGTTGCATTTTTGAGAAATTGAAAATAAAAGTAAAATTTTATTTTGACATTTATCCCTATTTTTTAAGTACCTACTTGCGACCTAATGTAGGTAAAACATTTTTGCAGCTACAAATAAAATACTTTTATTTGGAAAATACCTATTTTCTCTTTAAAATATATATTTCATGAAGATAAATCCTTGAATGTGGTATTTTAGATAAATAGGTATTTAGATAAACAAATTTAAGTAAGCCTAAATATAAGGTTAAAACAGTTCAATTTATCAAAATAAACGCATCCTTCGAAAATTGCATTTACATTATTTTTTTGTCGAAAATCGGTATATATTTTACATCGCATATCTGAGTTACAAAAATGTAAAAAGGTGTCCCTTTGATTAAATGTTTAAATAAAAACTCTTAACTAATAATATTGTAGAAAACAGCTACTCTGCCAACTACATGCCCATTCAGCTTTGAATTACACCCCCAATTTTGTGTACAGGGATAATTAAATAACTTTCTGCCCTCCTTATCGTTTTTGACTATCTAGAAAAAAATGGGAAAACTGATGGAAAAACAAATACGTTGCAAAGTTTTAAAGATGCAGAGCAAACTTTCTTTTAAATGTAATACCCTGTGGTTTTCTTAAACCCTCATTTTTCGATTATATAGATATACATATGTCATATACTTGCTTTAATAGTTTATACATATATCGTCCCTACTATCACGTAGAGGCGTATGTGTATATCCATTTCTTGGATTATACGCCCCTACGTGATAAGTGGGACGGTATTACTGACCCCGCGGGATGAATAAAGTCAACACAACATTCAATAGTTTTTTATGCACAAGAAAATTTAATCGAAAATTTCGTAAAAGTTTAGAAACACTGTTTTCTAAATATAAAAGCAAGTATAAAGAAAAAGCAGGATACCCTGCACTGAAATAAATAGGTATTTTTGTCAGTACTTAAGTTCCTGCGAGAGTTCCTGAGTACATACGTATGACTCTAGATCTAGAAGTTTGTTTGTTCAATTTGAAAATTATTAAGTGACAATAGGTATAGTTCTTTAATTATAGGATATGCACCAGGAACTTTTCTTAGGTACACCCAACCCCAACACTAATTGGTCTTAAAAAATAATTGTTTCTCAGTCTGCAAACAATAAAAGTGCATGTTGCAGCTGCAAAATACTGTAATGTTATATTGATTGCGTTTATAGTCCGCTTCACTATTAAAAAATGTCGTGTGTAGGTTCCTATAAACATTTAAATTTGATTATACTTATTAAAATCTGAAAAATTGGGAAACAACCCTCCTGTGATTTGTTTCATGTGAAGGGAAAACAGCTCGCCAAAATTTGTACGCCAAAATATTAATTTTCATAATTAATTACTAAGAAAAAAAAGAAAAGAGGTAGAGAACGCATAATACGTGTAGTTACTCAAATATTACTGAAGTATTACTCAAACAGTACTCAGTATTACTGAATTTTGTAGACCAAATTACTGCTGCCGTTTTCCCCTTGGTTTTGTACCTATTTCTAGGTCGTAGGTCGAGACAGAGTTCATACGGTAACCTCAATATATTTCGTTATCGATTTTCCAAGTATTCTCCTCGGTATGTATTCTCCATGGAATCATCCTCTGAATCAATGATTAAAGCTACCACAACACTGTTTATTTACGACCAATTAGAAAACTCGACGTTGTTCGCTGTGTAATATATTGGACGGCTAAAGCCGTAAATGCATTGGCTACACACTTGCCAATCTACAATAAAATAAATATGCAAGCTAGTCGTTTTCTTGGCTAAAATAACCTAGTAATAAGCTGCAACCTCTTACCGAAGCTCCAATTGTGACTCCGATTGTGAGCAGAATTTATGGCCTCATTTTCAAAATGGAAAGTAATAAATACAACTTGCAAATGAAAGAAATGAAGGAGAATAAATGCTAACAGATAATCTAGAAGTCAAAATATAATAACTGGGCCCAATATACCTTAGTCCAAAGTTATTTCATTTGCAGGGTAGTTGTTGACTGAGAAACATCATAAATACGCAAATATCGCGGAAGACGTTCGACGTTAATAATTAATGAAGCTTGGTTGGCAAATCATTTAAATATTGGGAGATATCCTCATTAAACATCACAGAATTTCGACACCACTGAATATTTTGGAAATTGTATATGTTCATTTGATTGCAATTGTATTTCAGATTTCCATATTATTCATAAAATGAGTAATTTTCCCTCGAATTTCCAGTTTTTTTTTTAAATTTAAAATAAGCTTTCTTGAGAGCTGACTACACAATTACCTAAATACATATAGAAAATAAGTAACTCTAAAAGTGCCCTTCTCACAAAAACATTTTATAGGTAACTATTTTGTTGCAAATTCAATATTGAATAAATTGTGATTATTAAGAAAAAGAAAATCATTGGCGTAGAAACTGTAAATTTTCTGAGGGATAACAAATGCATATTTGCACGCCACTGAATTTTCTGAACTTTCAGTGATTACTTAGGTAAGTTGTATTTAAAATTGCATTTCCAATAATAACATTTTTTGTGAAATAAACTGTTTTTTTCGATAACCGAGAGAAAATTTCGAGGTTTATGTACCTACTGAAAAAACTAAAAACTCAAAAATGATTCTTTTTTTCTAATAAAATGAAAATTTCTTTGAAATACAATTATTTCGAATCAAATGAATTTGCCGAATTTCCAACATTCTAAGTCGCTCAGTGGCGTAGAAAATTTAGGATTATTAATGAAGGCGTCACCAAGGAGATTCGCCACTGTCTGATATAACTGTATATAATTTTAAATTAATTTTTACCTTTATTTATGTTGTTACTATGTTGCCAGCCCAAGTTTCATTAATCTTTCAACATACATGTATTGGTGTTTGGTGTTTTCCAAAAACTTAAACACTGCAAACATACAAATAAAGTATTTTTATAAGGCAAAAGTCCGGTAACTACGATTAGAAAATTTAGGGTGTTATTTTAAGTCGTTCTTAAGTTCCTTTTTCTTTTCTTCGTTCTTTTTCAAAATCTCGGAGTATCAATGAACATTTGTTATTTTTTTTATCTAATATTTTGTCAACTCTTTTCAATTAAGCATATTATTTTTAGATTTAATATAAGTTCTAGGTACTTGTTATTTTGTAACATGGTATACCTACTTATGAAAAAAGTCAAAAATTTTGTAAAGCCTCAAATTCGAGCTCAAAGGATTTTGAAAAAGTTAAATAAATATTAGACAATATTCGGGACCATATTAAAAATCTGCAAATACAAATATGTTCCCCTCATTCCCCGCCAATAGCGTTGACCATTTCAGAGAAAAAAACACTGACATTAAAAGCAACAAAATAGAAAAAGAAAATTTTATTTTATAAAATTGTAATCATTAAGATTAGCAAAATCATTTATAAATGCATTAATTTTTAATTTTAATAATTTAGATAGGTATATTGTTATCTCATTTTTGCAAAAGTTGTCGATAAAAAAATGATAATTAATTTTCTGGTAAATAAGGGCCCTTTAAACCTTTTCGAGCTTTTAATGATATTTTCTTATTGTACATATGCCAAATTTGTAAAAAAATTGTTTTACCGAAAAATATGGGCAGCTAAAAAAAATATAAGTTATGTAACTAACGTTATTTATACTATTATTTTTATGATTATTCTGAGGATTATTCCCAATTTAATGAATTCTTAATTTTTTCAATATACCTAAGTACATTGAAAAACTTACGATTCTGAAGAAGTTAAGCACGAGCACAATACAATATAATAATATTATATAAGCCACACATAAAGTATTCCTTTTTTTAATGTTAATAAATAAATTAATGATGAACAAAATTGGAGACACGGTACATACGGTGAATAAATTAATCGTAGGCTTGCACATTATGGACTGATAAATTCAGAGAAAGCCAACTGCGTGTTAATTACGGGCAGATATTTAAATAACTTAGCATCCAACTTACATAAATTACTGAAGAATATGAGGAATTCTTGTAGGAAGAGTTGTACGTAATTTTTAAAATTCCTTGTAATTTAAATTATTTTACATTTCACAGTTATCTTTAACCAGACAGCGTTACGCATAAAAATTCTTAATTTATCAAAATGATAATGCATAGGTAGTATTTCTGACCTTTAGATAGTTTCATATTTTA